CGGGCTCGTAACCTTACGTAAGATTACGAAGCGTAGGGTTTACGTAATACTTCGCATTATTAAATTTACTGATGTATCTCAGGAGTGATGACGATGAATTTGCTTCAAAGCGGAGATTTGTGCAAGAAGAACTCATGCATTTGATTCGTGATCCTGAACTCCCTCTCAAAGAATATTATCTGTAAATTTCGTTTATGTCTCCCCTATCAATAGCGAGTTTGATCATGCTAAAGATTATGCCAGAAGACGTAGTGGTCAGTGTTTAGGAAGGACTGGTCAAATAAATGGTCGTGATATATATCTTTAGTCTTGCGAAAATGGTGTATACCAGTAGGAGTATCCATTGAAATATATCATGAAAAATTCGAGTGGTGCCCTCTATGCCATCATACTCAAGAGCGTAAATGCTGATATATTTTTGAGGATTTGTTAGACAAGAAATTCCCACCATGTAGGGCTAAGTTCTTAGATGGGCTACACTTAGATAGATATAATGAGGAATTGCGTCTTGCATTCGAATTTTAGGGTTCTCAACACTATCGCCACAATAGCTTCTACCATCAGGAAAATAAAAATCTAAAATCACAAAATATGCATAATCAGAAAAAGCGGGATATATGCAAGGACCAAGGTATATGCCTTATTGAAATTCCATATACCGCTGATCTCCTGTCCTATATCGGACATACACTAATCAAGAAAGGATTTTTGGATAAAGTGAAGTCCAACTCTAGAAAGTTCAGGTGATTTTGCGAACCAAGTTCACAGAAATTTCTCATTTTGATGTACTTTGTATATCATACTATATGGAATTCTTTGTGTATAACGTTGACGAGATCCCCAGAAAATCTTTGGAGCAAATGAAAGGCAATAAATATAGGCCAGATTGGCCTTTTCGCCTTCTAGTTACTGGAGGCTCACATAGTGAAAAAACTAATATGGTTATCAATCTTATTCTAGATAACAAACTCCAACGCATGTTTAAAGGTAAGAAGGGGGATAGATATATTAAAAATGATCATCTTATTTTAGTTGGAAAGCATGCCGAACCTAAATGGAAACTAGTAAAAAATGCTATCCACATTTTTGCGAATAGTCCTGCACCATATCGAGAGAATATCACATTTCAAACAATAAAGGCGAAAAAGATTCCAGATATAAGCAAATTCTCCCCGAAGAGAAGCACTGTTGTTGTTTTTGAAGATCTTTGTGCTGAATCGAAAAAAGTACAAGAACGTATAATCCCTTACTTCATTAGTGGACGGCATCAAAACATATCTCCTATATATGTAACTCAGAAATATCAGGCTGTACCAAAGATAATTCGTGAAAATATTTCCCATCTGATCATGTTCCGAGGAAGTGGATCCCGTGAAGATATATGTAGAATTGTGCGTCAGTATACAGATGATCCGAAAAAAGCATCCAAAATTATTGACAAGCATTTGCGAGATCGAAATTTTGTAGTCTTTGATTTCACTAAGCCGATAGATGATCCATTAGTGATTAGGCTGGGCTGGGATTACATTTTAAATTTTTCTGATCAAATATAAAATGAAAACCAAATACTCTATAAAAGATGCTTGTAAAATTGCTATAGAACGAAATGGCTTGTGTCTTTCAGATAGATACATTAATTGCAATACATCTTTATTGTGGAAATGTGCTAAAGGTCATGAATGGATGGCTCCCTTTCACAGAATTAAAAATGCTAGAAAATGGTGCCCACATTGCTCAAAAAATAAATCTTACACTCTTAACGATGCTAAACGGGTTGCAAATAATAAAAATGGAGAATGCCTTTCAGAAAATTATATTAATAGTATATTACCATTGCAGTGGAGATGTGCTGAAGGACATGAATGGTTTTCAACACTTAGAAATGTAAAATATTGTAATACTTGGTGTCCAGATTGCGCACATAGTAGACCTCTTACTCTTGAAGAAGCTAAACAAATCGCACATAGCAGGAATGGTGAGTGTCTTTCTACGATATTCGTTAATGTTCGTTCACCTTTGTTGTGGAAATGTGCTAAAGGGCATAAGTGGAGTGTTAGTCTTTCAAGTATAAAATATTGTAATAGTTGGTGCCCATATTGTGCGGGTACAAAACGTCTTACTCTTGAAGAAGCTAAACAAATTGCACATAGCAGGAATGGCGAGTGTCTTTCTGAGATATTTGTTAATATTCGTTCACCCTTATTGTGGAAATGTGCTAAAGGACATAAATGGCATTCAACACTTAAAATCGTTAAAAATAGTAACTCCTGGTGTCCATTTTGTCGTTTACATAAACGTGAAAATTTATGTCGTGAAATTGCATCTAAATACCTTGGACCGCCATCTGAAAATTGCAAGCCAGATTTTTTAAAAACATCAGAATATCCAACAGGGCTACAACTTGATATTCCCTTTTATGATTTCGGTTTTGCTATAGAAGTACAGGGGCAACAGCACGAAAAATATATAGAATTCTTTCATAAAGGAGATCCCAATAATTTTATCAAACAGCAAGAGCGAGATCAACTCAAGAAAGAATTGTGCGAAGAGAATTGGATTGTTTTAAGGTATGTTTGGTACTACGAAGACCCATATAAAGTTATTCCAGAGCATCTTCGAGAATTGGGTCTTATTGAGTAAACTTAAAACTTTAAATTCTTTCTATTATTTTTTTCTATCGGTAGGATTTTTGCATCGAATAATTTATGGATGTACAATCTAGTTATTGCCAAACCGGGAAAGCATCAAGAAAAAAATTACGTGCGTGTTCTGGAACGAAACACTGTTAAGAAAAAATCTCATAGTACACATAGATGTCTGTATAATAGCAAAGCGATGAAATGTTTGATATAACTTTTTTATTAATCCGATGTAAAAACGCCCTGCCAATATTACAAGTCATAAAGCATATGCATATCAATAATCGCATTTTTATTGTCAGAGATTCTATTCCACCCTCACATCACATCCGCACACAAAATATACAAGACTATGTGAGTAAACTAATAAATTTTTTGATTACACGAGCTAAATAATACAAGATTTTTTTTGCAAATTGCTTAGTAAACAGAAAAAAAAATATACTAGAAACGCCCATAGTAAAATGGACAAATTCTGTGACAATTACGAGTTCTGCTTACAAGATTATTGAATTGGGGTGTATTAAGGGTATCGCGTTTGAACGTTTTCTTTACTGACGATAAGTTTGGGTTGCAGAGGTTATCGTACAAAATATCAAAGGATCTTTTGAAAATTTCTCGTATACCTAAAAGTATTTCAATTTGATCAACGAAGGATAGCATTTCTTTCAATGATGCCGGAACTGAAACTTGGCCAATGTGAACCATGACATAAATTCCTTCGACAAGATCGATCATATAAAAATCAATTATATGCCCTATAATGAAGTGCCAAAAAGGGTTAAAGAAAATTTCATGTGTGAAAAAACACTTTATATTATTTTGCTTACCAACACATTGAAAGCCGATTTTAATATCGGCACCTTTCTCTATTGCGAAGTCCATGCAGTCCTTCATAAAGACACCAAGTCGGATTAAATCACAACAGTTTTTATATACATTTGTCTTTTGTAATGGAGGACTAACCTCCCCTATGAAATATTGGCGACTGTTTGAGATTGGTGAACAATCGAGACCACAAAATCAGGTTGCTTGGCTCGTCCCCTGAACTTTCTTGCCTTACTTTCATTCAAAGCTGTATTCGGCCACTGGACAATGTGCTTGTCAGCATCATGAAATGTACCTTTCATTATATAGTCCAAATAATTTGTTATAAATGTGATCTCGCTAGGTTCGTTTCTAACCTTACCACTAAGCAACATTTCCAGGCCTTTCAATATCACAAAACCCAAGTTTTCACCCAAAGTTTCGTCATTTGAAAGTTCTGTTACTAACAATTTTATGGCTTTGTGACGTGACTCCTTAGTCGCTTGCTTAACCACTTTTCTAAATTTTGTCTCATACTCTGAACTTAGTTCTATTTGTTATGCTGGAGCGAATTGTTGGTGAATTTCATTGAGTAAAGGAGAACCAAATATATCGATCATCGTATTTGAATGAGAACCCGGTGCAAGCAAGAAAATCGAGGATAGTGACAATATTTCATGTACATTCGACTCAGCAAATAGACCTTCAGTCTTTGCAATCTTTGCTGATTCATTTTGATATTTCCGGAATAACTGAGACACATTATTATCTCCTATCTTAAGATCGTTTTCTGGATCCCCATCCTTAAAGCAAAGTTCATCTATATCATTAATAATTATGACACCATCCTCGTTCTCATCTTCGTCTTCATTCTCTTTCTCACTAAACGAGTTATCCATTGGCAATGGATGTAATGATTGACAGCCTGGGGAAGGTATAGTGTATCCACATTGCTTCTTTGACAAATGTTCTTCGTTATAATTAATATTTCGTTTTTCTCTTAAATCATATGGTTTGTTATCCGCAACTGATTCATTCTAGGTGATATACGAATAAATCATAAATTAGTATCTCGGAGCAGTGCGACAGCGGAATACAATTTGTGCTGTTTTCAGACATCCCTAAAGGGGAGACCTTTTTTACCTTATTAGCATCCTCCGCTTCTTTCTCTTGTTCATCAATTCTAGATTTTTTTGCTTCATTCCTTTCCAAAAAATTTAACTGAGACTTATGAACTATCTTCGAAGTATCGTTTAAACGTTCGTTTCCCGTTTGCAAAAAATTCACAATACCTTCAGCCTGAAAATTTATTAAAATTCATTATTTGCTTCAAATATATGATCCTGAAGTTTAACCACGCGTTACCTCGTTTTTTATCTAGTGTATTGAGTTTTTGGTCGAACTTTTTGTCTTCCCAAAAATCTTTCACTTCCTCTGACGTTTTCTCATTCTTGTTAAAAAAATTCAATTGTAGAATATTATGTTCTGATACTTAATACTAACGAAGTTTACCTCTAAACTTAACCCTAACTAACTCTAACTCCAACCTACAAACATGGTGTATCTATATTTCTCAATTCTAGCATCACGTCGGTTATTTTCTTCTATCATCTGCTTCATAAGCTCCACATTTCTGGCCTCAATCTCGACATTTCTGGCTTCAACCTCAGCAAGCTTCTTTCTAAGTTCAGGAATCTCAGCAAGTTTCTTTCTAAGATTGAGGATCACAATATTCTCTTTCCTAAGCTCTGCATTCTCAGCCTCAAGTTCAGTGATGCGCTATTTTAATGATTCAAGCGAGAATGACATGATCTATATATAACTAATACAATGTACATAAGCATTCAAAATAAAAATATATATATCAACCTGTTAACATTGTTAACGGGTTTTGCCAATAAAACGTTTTATTATTACAAGATAAAAAATAAATACATAGCTTGAGACGTAGCTAGCGATACATATTAATTTTTGATAAATTTTTTGTCGCAAAATCTGGTCGAAGGCGTTGCATACATGGCTCAGCAAAAAAATCTAATTAATGATCATGCAAACACCTCTCGACTCGCTCTGGACTAACTAGATTATTCAGACTTTGATTCAGTTTCAGAGCTAGAAGATTCTGAATCAGAACAATAATCTTCATCAAAATCAATATGAATATTTGGATTTAGCTGGTCCATGGCTTTTTTGCTAATATTTTCATATCCTTCCAAATCTAGAAATTTTAAATTGAGACATGAGCGAGCAATTTCTTTGATAATCGTACTGGTAATATTGCAATATCTAAGGCTGAGATGCTGAATCTTCAGGTAGGAGCGAATAATATTGCAGATTGATAATTCACTAATAAATGTACAACCACTTAGATCAAGATATTATAATTTATGACAAGAATGGGCTAGTGCTTCAGTAATTCTATCAGTAATATCATTACCATCGATTTCTAAGTGTCTTAAATTCGAAGATCCTTTGATGATGACTATAATCAATTCATCATTCCACAAAGCCATAGCCCCACTAAACTTAAGATACTCTATTTTGAAGTGTCTTCACATCAAAGTACTAGCATTTTTGACATCCTCTCTACTATATGAAATATCAAGATTTCGTAAATTTGAGCAGGAGTTTAAGATGCAACTTATAGATTTATCTGTGATCTGACGTGCTTCAACAAAATGAAACTCTTGCAAATTATGGCAATTATCTGCAATTACAAACAAAGATTTATCGGTAATATTTCTGCAGTAGGAAATATTTAGATATTCTAATTTACGGCATGATCCTACGATCGCATATATACCTTTATCAGTTATTTCTTGAGCATCCCACAGATTGAGATATTTTAAATTAGGATATGATTTCGCTATTATAAATAGTGATCTATCACCAAAACCTATACTTTCTTTGAAATTTAAATGAATTATATTCGGGAATGTATCTACAATATTTTTTATTTTTCTATTCGAAAGCAAATGGTAATAAGTAATTTCTAGATGGGTTACATTCGAGACATAAGCTGGCTTATACTTTTCGCATATTATTTTTACA